TTGTGTTGCTCTGTTTGCTAATGTCAGCCATCATGGCACTAGTTATCAGTTGTACTGGAGGACCATACCAGGGTCCTTATTTCTCACAGATGTGAAACTTCCCAGGTGAGTGAAGAGCCACTCCATGCCCCAACCAAGGTGTGCGTCACTGTTGAGTGAGGTGAGGATAATGGGGTGGCACAATGTATCTACAGATAGCATAGAACATTTGTGTAGGGAAATGACAGCTTTAGGAGGGTTCCCTGAATTAATTCGGTCTGGACATATGGATTATATGAATGGATGTTTGCAGGAGGCTTTGTATGTTAAGCTTAGCAAAAAGCCATAAAGATGTATTGCTTTGTGTCCCATGTATCAGATGTGTGTCTTGCAGTCCCTCTACAGCCTTTCCGTCGGGTGAGGACTCCAGTTAGCCCTGAGACCAGGCACAATGGTTAAGCACCTGTGAGTACAGTTAAACCTTTCTGTTCTGAAATAGAGTGGCTACTTCAAACTATCCATAGCAGTAGTCATTGACACTGCTATGTCCCTCCAGAACATGCCCCAAGGCATGGAAGAATTAGGTAGAAGTTTTGGTAGAGTTATGTTAATGGTTGGACTTGATGTACTTAAAAGTCTTTTCCAACCTAAATGAATCTGTGGTTCTGTGAAGGGGTTACAGGTGGCACTGACCAGAACTGTGTCAAGGAATAGTTCAACAATTGAAGAGTCACACTATTTGTGCTAGTGCCTGTACCCTGGCCCTGATAATTTTCTAGTATAGATGTAGCCTTACAGGTGTAACTAGCTTCAATTGAGACCCTGGGGCCTGCAAAGTTAAAATATGTAACTCTATGGCAAAGCTAAACACCAATGAACCATTTTTTCGGGGGTTAACACCAACCTCTCCTCTAACTCAGTGGGGAGATAATGTCTTTCAGTAGCAAGCTATTACTGTAGCTAGGATCTTGGTGAATAAGCCTAAAACCAATGAAGGCCAAACAAAACGACTGTGGGGTGGTACTGGTACTGACTGGTGGAGAAGCACAGTTATTAGACTGTCCCCTGCTGCTCTTCCTATGAACATACTTGAAGTGCAGTATACAAAACACACCTTTCCTGCAGAGACGTTGTCATCATCATCCTGGCTTGAATTTGAATTTTCAGGTGATCTGAAAATCTGCAAGACTAGTACTTTTCAAAAAGAATTGTCCTTGAGGAGGTAAAATATAAAATGAGAAAATGTTTTCAATTGTTACTGAGGAGTCTTAATTCCTTTTGATTATTTAAGAGCAAGTAAATTAGAAGAAGAGAGTCTTGGCACTTGACTTAAAGTGTGCCTTTTGAAAATGGCACAGTTAATGTCTCCTGTTGCTTCCTTTGGGATGAAAATAGTTGTCAAATTTCAAACCAGTAAAATTTTGCAATGAAAAAATCTTGCAATAAAAAGTGATGTTTCCACTGAAAACCATTGTCCACCTCTAACAAAGTCCAATCTGGAGTGGTATATTCTAAGTAAATTTTTATTTCATGTGCCCATTTACCTTCATAACAAAAAATTATTTTCACCTAGAAAACTCAACTATCTATTCCTACATTTTGAATTCTTTTTTTCAAATGGTTATTAACTTTTCCTAGGCCTTACTCTCTTTTTTCCTTTTTTTTTTAAAAACTTTTTTTTTTTCAGGTTAAGCACTAGCTTAATTAAAATTACATTGTAATTATTTCTAATGGAGAACTAATTCTTTTGCAGAACTGAAAACCCAACTGTGGATTCTTCTTGATTTAAAGGAAGCTTCTGCTGTTGTAGCTTGCATGTTCAATTCATATAAAGAAAAATCTGTTGGGTTAATTTATAGAAATACTTATTCCTCATAGCTGAAATGGATCTGCTGTATCTTATTCATCAACAAGCCCTGGATTTCTGATGGACTAATCTATTTTGTATTTACAGCGTGTTCACATCTTCCTTTTAAAATGCATCAAAGATTCCAAATATATGGAAGTTTTCAACTTAAGCCTTCCTTTTAAACATGGAAAGATTTTATTTGACTGATACTCTGATTTCATTCATTCAGACTGCTACACTGGTTTCTTGCTTTGATGATTAACTTGCTTAATACATGGTTCCTTTACCTGAATTATCAAATAAGCTTCCTCAGCTGCACCTGACCTTTGTGTTGGAATCATGCTGAAAAAAAGGATTCTGCTTTGATAGGGAAAGCTGATTTATTTCTAACTACTGGGCTAATTTTTTGTCTTGTCATATCCTCAATGAATAATGCTGTTTCTCTTCAGTTATGCTAGGGAGTATAGCCTCACTGGCTCTGGTTAAAATGAGAAAAAGTGGTTTTTCCAAGCAAAACCTCATTTTTCTAACAGATCTCTTATGCCATTCTCTGGTGAGCTAGCTCCCTTACCGGTGCATGAGCACAGCATGAGAACTGAGCACCACAGCAGCCCAGACAATGCATGGTTCATAGAATCACAGAATGTCAGGGGTTGGAAGGGTTCTCCAGAGATCATTGAGTCCAACCCCCCTGCCAGAGCAGGACCATCACCTAGGGCAGGTCACACAGGAACTCATCCAGACGGGTCTGAAAAGTCTCCAAGGTAGGAGACTCCACAACCTCCCTGGGGAGCCTGTTCCAGTGCTCTGGAACCCTTACAGTAAAGTTCTTCCTCATGTTGAGGTGGAACTTCTTGTGCTCCAGCTTGTGACCATTACCCGCGTCCTATTGCAGGGCATATGTGAGAAGAGGTTGCCCTTTCCTTCCTGACACCCAGCCCTCATATACTTATACACATTAATTAGATTTTCTCTAAGTCTTCTCTTCTCCAGACTAAGTAGCCCCAGGTCTCTCAGCCTCTCCTCATAAGGGAGATGCTCCAGTCCCCCAGTCATCCTCGTAGCCCTAAGATTCATGCTCTCTGTTAAGTTGAAGGGTGTGCGATAAAGTCTTCACACAGAATTAAAGTTCTTTGATATCTGATTGATGGTGCTTAACCCTTTCAGTTCCCTGCTAAGCTCTAGCAGCTACTCAGGATACAGAGAAGGGTTAGCTTCTGTGAAAGGACTGGCACAAACAGGATTCTGGATGCATATTTGCTGATCCCAACTTAAACACTAATTTAGTATCTCCTAAAAACAGCGTGGTTTTTTCAGTCTTCTCCCCCTTCGCACAGCTCTTCTGTGTGATCCCATCTCCACCCACCCTCCTGTAACTGCAGTTCTAGGCAAAGAAACACTCAGCTCCCCAGCTGCTGCCTCTGGCTCAGGAGGGGAAGATTGGAAGAGTGAAATGGTGATAACTGGGGGATGACTGGCTGCAAGCATAAATGCAAGTGGCCATGACTTGGTCAAGCTGAAGGTCTGCCAATAATTAAAGGTAGATGGTTTCTGCTGGAAGCAAGTAAAAGCACTTTATTGTCCCCCATGAACCTTCTGTGACTAAGAGTGAAACCCTGCTGTACATAAAAAACTCTTCCAACTGTGTGAACTGAAGGAGTTTGGCATTTCATGAGAGTGCTCAGCATTTTAGGAAAATGGATTATAAATAAATACAGTGAATTGTTATGCATACATTTTAAATGTAATATAAACTAATTTTGCCTTGTTACTGTGTTGTAATAATGGAGTCATGACTTTTCCAAGAAAAAAAGAATATATGATTCAGCAGACCCTGGGAAATAAACTTTTATATTAAATTGGAAAAAAAAAAGTTGAATTTCACAGTATTATGTGATATAATTTTATCAGCTTAGTATAGTAACTGTGATTTGCTTTATTCTTTTCAAGGTAGCTATCTAGTAATTCAATACCCTGTTAGTGAGCAGGTAAACATGTATTTCCAGCACCAACTCTAGATTAAATCTTAAAAAGTGATGATATGGAGTTTGACTTTCATTGTTACTGCCTGATAAAACATAAGTAAATACAGAAAGTGTGTAGTAGGCAAATATATATGCAAAAGACTTCAGACATTACGGTGATTCTGTTTGAGAAGAATGTTAGCATTTACTGATCATTCCTGTCATTGCTGCTGTTATTCAGTACTAACATTTCTTTAATTATGTGAATGCCAGAAGAGTAAATTCGCAAAAAGGAAAATCACTTTACATATAACTTAGTGGCATAATAATGTCTAGAACCTATTTTAAAGAAACCATGACAGATATCTTTCAATCAGCAGTCTGCCACAACAGGAAATGATTTCCTCCGCTGAGCAATGAAATAAATAAAGGTCGGACAGTTTGTTTGTCTGCATTTACTCTGCACAGTTCTACCATTAAAACAGGATGTTTTCTATTAACATTGCTCCACGTTTCCTGGTAAAAGTATCACCAAATTAAGGATGAAATTTTTTTCTAGGTGAAATTCACTCCTCCAGCATAAAGCCCTATGCCTAGAATCTGCAAATAAAAAAGCTGAAATAAGATGTGGGAGCTGCTAAATTTGTAAGCACCAGGCTGTGATCTGTAGAAGCATACAGGAGTTACGTACTCAGCTCCTACTGCCACTCAAAGGAGGTGAGCACCTTTGTTGTTTAAGGATTTTGGAAATTTCCAGCCCTGTGAGATCTAACAGTCTCCCATGGTTTGCTCAGAGATAGTGTGTATATGTACATATATATGAATAGTGCCTTGGATATTTGAAATCTATGCAAGTGCAAAGAAAAGCATAGAGCATGCAGCTTCTCAGCTGTGAAGAAGCAGTAGCCTTGCTGAGCCATCCTGCTTATGAGACAGGCTACTGGATCTTCCTCATAGACCACACTTGAGTTGTGCCCTTAAGTGATCTTCAGCTCAGCCAGGAAGAATAGGGGCTGTGAGTTAATTCATGGGAAAACTTGAACTGTGTGGAGTTGAAGTGGAAGGAAGGGCTCTAAGTCAGCCACATGTGCACTGGATGTTCCACCTAACTGGAATGTGCTTTGTGTTGAGGTATGTTTTCTTTGGCTATTTTTTTCCCGAAATGTGCAATTACAAACAATAAACTATTTACATCATAACAAATGAAATGTCATCTTTTTCTGTCATAAAATGGAATATTCCTATGTGCAACAGATGAATTATTGTCCTTAGGGATCAAATACAAAACTGTTTTCAATACAGAGAACAATAAACTGATTATTACAGCTAGATACTTTCTGATACAGAAGTTTCCCCGTCTTCAGTGGTGCTGCTTGTCCCACAGCTCCCACATCAGCTGTGTGCCAGGCTTCACAGTAGTTGCTAGTCAGCCGGATCCCATTTGCAGTTGAACCATGCCATATTACTTTTTGAGGCCTGAAAGGTAATGTTAAGAAGTTATTTCTTTAAAAAGTCCCCTTTTTGCTTTATTTAACTGCACACCTATAGGTGTGATGACCTATATTTCTGCTTGAAGCAAACAGTGGGTAGGGAACGATGACGATAG